CTTTGTTCATAATGGACAAAAACGTAAATGAATCTAGATGTCCTTCAAGAGGTGAATGAACGTATAACCAAAGTGGGGTACATCCATGCAGTGGAATACTACTCAGAAACGAAAACAAATGAAGCTTCATCCCATCCTGAGACATGGATGAATCTTACAAAAGTATTGCTAAGTGAAAGAAGCCAGTGTGGAGAGGCTACATACTATGTGGCTCCCATTTATATGACATTCTGGAAAAGGCAAAACTAAGAGCTGGCAAACAGCTCAGTAGTTGCCAAGGGTTCATGTGCGAGAGGGTTTGAAGTACTCTGCGTGATAATTTAATGGTGGACATTTGCCACTGCATTTGTCCAAAACCACAGAGTTTTGTAGCCCAAAGAGTAAAGCATAATATGTGCAAATTCAAAGACATTTCTTAAGACGGGAGAATATCCCTGGAAGGAATGCAGCATGTGACAAAGAATCTCACTGTATCACTGATGCATGAAAAAGTCACTGCAGGTACTGAGGCAAAAGGTGTAGTAACCTTTAACTTAAAAAGAGTATGTATGTATGTATAACTGAATCAATAGGCTGTGTACCAGAAAGTAACACAAGATTGTAAAGCAACTGTACTTCAGTTTTTTTTAATGGGGAAAAAATACACACACACACACACAAAGCTAACCCAAAAGGTCACGTTACAAATGAGTAGCGATTTGTAGATGGAAGGCAAAAGGACTACACGCAAACAGTACGCGCCATTTTTTTCAACTTTGGTAAGAACATGTGACGTGACGTCTACCCTCTGAACAGATTTTTTAAGTGTAAAATCCAGGATTTTAAGGGTTCAAACGATCTCGTTATCTCTCAGCACAAAGTTGTACGTCAGAGCTATTGGCCAATATGACTGTGTACATGCCAGTATCACGCTGTTCTAATTATTGTAGGTTTGTAGTACACTTGGAAACCAGGAGGCGTGGTAACTCCAGCTTTGTTCTTCTCTTTCCACATTGGTTGGCAACTAGAGGTTTTCTGTGGTTCCACATGAATTCTAGAACTGTTATTTCTATTTCTGTAAGAAATACTATTGTGATTTTGGTAGGGATTGCACTAACCTGTGGCTCACTTTGGGTTGTATGAACTTTTTTTTTTTTTGGTATGGACATCGTAACAGTAGAGCCTTCCAATTCATGAACAGGATGTTCTTCCATGTGCTTATGTCTTGCTTAATGTCTTTCATGTTTCAGAGTTTTCGATGTCCAAGACTTTCACTTCATGAGTTAAGTTTATGCCTAAGTACCTGATCATGTTACCATATACCATAGCACAAACTACCTCTCTTCTGACTTCACTGATTTCTGTGTTGATTTTGTATCCTGCAACTGTACTGTATCAGGTCTAGATTTTGTTTGGTTTTGGTCTTTAGGGTTTTCTATAGATAAGGTCATGTCAACTGCAAACAGGGACTATTTTTATCCCTTTTATTTCTTTTTCTTGTATAATAACTCTGGTTAGAACTTACAGTACTATGCTGACAAGAAGTGGTGAGAGTGGGCATCCATGCCTTGCTCCTGATCTGAGCGGAAAAGCTTTCAGTTTTTCACCATTATGACGTTAGCTGTAGGCTTCTCACACATGGCCTTTGTTATGTTGAGGTAATTTCCCTCTATTCCTATTTTGTTGAGTTTTTATCATGAAACGGTGTTGAATTTTGTCAAGTGGGTTTTTTTGCACCTGTTAAAATGATCATGTGATTTTTGAGCCTTCATTCTGTTAATGTAGTAGATCACATTACTTGATTTTCATGTGTTGAAACATCCTTGCATTTGAGGGATAAATCCCACTTGATCATATTACCATTTTAACACACTGTTGAATTCAGCTTGCTGGTATTCTGTTGAGGACTTTTGCATCTATGTTCATCTGGGATATTCAGCTGTAGTTCCCTTTTCATGTGCTGTCTTTGTGGTATCGAAGAATTGTTTCCCTCATAAAGATGAGTTTAGACGTGCTCCTTCCTCTCTAACTTTTTCTGGAAGAATTTGAGGATTCGTATTAATTCTTTGAATGTGTGGTAGAATTTGCCAGTGAAAACATCTGGTCCAAGCTTTTCTTTATTGGGAGGTTTTTGATTACTGATTCAATCTCCTTATCAGTCATAGATCTGTTCAGACTTTCTATTTCTTCATGATTCAGTCTTGATAAGTTGCATGTTTCTAGAAATGTATCCATTTCTTCTAGATAATGCATTTTGTTGGCATATGATTGTTTATAGCAATTTCTTTGGTCCCTTTTTATTTCTTTGGCATCAGTTGTACGGTCTCCTCTTTCATTTCTGATTTCTCTCCATTTCATTTCTGATTTTGAATTTTTTTTCCTTAATAACCTTTTATGATTTTTAAAAAAATTTAATCCTTAGTTTTAATATTTTAAAATTC